CGGGGGCCGTACCCGTGCGCAGGCCTCTCGCGGCGTGGAGCTGTGGGGAGGAGGTTGCTGAAACGAACCGAAAACCGGAGTGGTTAGCGCGCGAGAGCTTCCAGCGACAGCCTACACGCTGTGAATTTAATGATGTTTATATTCTACAGCTATATAAGCATGTCTAATAAATATCTGCCTATGAAATAGAAATGAGATTGACCAAAGCATACGCACAATTACCTGCTTACCCACAGAAGCTAACAGCTTGGCTTTCAGAACCATCCCAAAACCTCCTGTAGGAATACCTTGATTATTTTTAGTGGAAATAGGTGTCCAATCCAGCTAAGCAGTGGCAGGACTGCAAGTGGTACACACTAAATACTGGTAAGATTATGTATAAGCATGATGAGATTATATATAAGCATATTTGTAAAGGAGTACATCACAGGGCACCTCTTTTTTCCTCCTGAAGAAGAAGGGAAAATGATCCAGGATGTCCTACACTTACACAAAATCTGAGTGAAGACCATTTTACTTTGTTTCCCCATCTTAAGTCTCTGTAGAGAGGTTTTACTAATACTTCATTTAGTATTTGGCATAAGATAGCATTAATTATTTTAAGACTGCTTTCAGTTTGGTGAAACTAAACCTGCATACAGATCTCTCTTATCTCTGTATAGCAGGAGCTGGGCTGCTAGTTTGGATCTTGTGGTCAAATTATAATAATTAGAGTTGTGTCCAGCAGTGCCAAATTATATGTAATTCATCGAAACTACTTATGTTATTATATAATAAGAATAGGCATAGTTCTAGATACAGCTCAGGCAGGGGCTGGGCTTTAATCATCACTGGAACCTAGTCATCTTTTTCTCTCCTGGGATGTGCGAATCGCATAGCTTTTCCCAAAAAATTAGAGCTATATGAAGGTCATTTCATACAAAGCAGATCCCAGCTCCGATGGTGCTGTGTTGGTTATAAGGATGACATAACAGTGCAGGTAATCATGTGAAGATACCTCTGTCATTTCCTCCGCTCTCCACATCAACCGTGCAGCTGTTTTCTGTGAAAACAGTGCTAGACAGAGGATGTCAATGCAAATTAGGAGACTGAGGGTATGTGCAAACTATATAAATTATATTAATATTCTCAATTTCTATGCAGATACAAAGTGCTACAAGGTGAGTTTATGATGCAATAATTGCCTGTTTCTGACAATTGTAAAATTAAGTAGCAGCATGAAAGAGGACATTTGACTAACTCCAGAAAAAGGCACTATATATTTTCATCTTAAAATTTTCTATTATTTTTGCTCTTGCTTTTTTTTTTAAAGCAAAAAATCAACCCTTTTCAAGTTTGTAGCATGAGTCACTTTCTGTAGAAAGTAGGGCTTTATCCATTACAAAGGCAAGTCTAACTCCTTTCCTTGCCTGTTCCCATAGTAACTCTTCTAACTGATGCCCCTGTAAAGACTGCATTCCAAGTCACACCAAACCCTTCATATGCTGAACTACTCTGCAGCAATAAAGAATATTGTAAAAGTTTGTGAAAACTCTTGAAAGCACAGAAAAGTTCTAATGCTTGCAAAATGTGAAGCCTTGCAAGACTTTCTTTTATTCAAGGGCTATTTGATGTTAGTACATAGTAGCTGTTACAAGATCTGGCTGTGATGGTACCTCACCACTGTGGCGGCTGCTGTGAACATCACTCAGCTCCTTTGAAAAGGAGACAGAATGTGAGGGTGACCTTGTGGGATTTTTCCAGGCAGTGATGTTGCAGTAGAAACAATGGCAGACTATTCAGTGCTCAACACAGAGACATCTCACAAACGGCAGCAGCAGAACGGCCCATAGCATATTCCAGTTTTCATTTGTTCAGGGCCAGGCTAGGGGAAACCGTCTTGGCAAGACAGAATATTCTCATGAAAGAAAAGACGACCGAGAAGCAAAAATTCATGTAGTGTGAAGAGAAATGAAAAGTATAAGTAGTGAAATTTCCTTATTTTCACCAATTTTAAGCAGCTTTCTGAATCTGAAGTTCAAAATTGGAACAGTACTGTTGGGTTTTAAAAAAGGGGAAAAAATTATCTGGTATTTACTTGCAGCTTTTACTAAATTTTTTTAATTCACTATTCTTCTGTCATCTGTTCCACTGGTACACCTACCGCTTACTTTCTGCACCACAAAGTAGATCAGTTGTTTTCATGTTTAGTCCATAGCACACTCTTCCCACATACCAAAGGCATGTAAAATGTAAATAAATCCCGAATGAAGAAATGTTACCTCTCCTCCAGAATTTCATAAAATATAATGTTAGTTTTATAGATTTTGCTGGAAAGACGGACTGCAATTTAGAGAAGCAGCACTGGGAACTGTTACAGGATGTTCTATTCCCCCCTGTAAGCACTTGAAGCAAGGGAAGTTACTTATGAGGAAGTTCCCTGCAGATGTGTCTCTTGGCAGTTGATTGGCATTGGCATCTTAAAAACATTGCGAAGTTCTAATAAAGTCTGTCCTTCAGTCAGGACAAATAATCTCTCCTTGTGAAGTTTTTCTGCGTGAGCTGCTTTTCTTCAGATTTGGCAGTACGCTGTCCTCTCTTGAGGCAAGCAGCCTGTTTTCAGTGATTTCATTTTTAAAGGTGTTTCCTCTTGCATGTAGGAGGGAATCACAGCTGCTGTGGTAATACATGGGCAAGGCAAATTTGGGTTCACTTATCTATTATATATGTCTTCTTCCTAGCACACTCACTTTTCTCTACATCCTTGATTTCTGAAGCCCCACAGAGGAATTGCCCTCCTTTCTGCAACATAATGCCCCTGTTGTCTCAGCTTCTTGCATTGTACCTCTATCCAGGGATAACCATAAAGAACTAGAGGCGGTGGTTTTAATCTCTTAAAAATCGGATAATGCAGTATCACACAAACAATCACAGGCCAAATGCTGATGCAAGGAAAATACAGTGTTTAATTTGATCTTGAAATCTGCTTATTGGCAGCACAAATAAGTTAAGAATAACGATGTTTTAATCTCATCTCTTCTTGTAGTGGCTGGTAACTAGCACCAACATCCTTCACTTGGCTCTGTAGCTGCGAGGAATGGCTATGGAAGATTCTGACAAGAAGACCGAAGTAGTCCTGCTGGCCTGTGGGTCCTTCAATCCCATTACCAACATGCATCTAAGGCTATTTGAGCTGGCTAAAGACTACTTTCATGAAACAGGTAGGATGGTAATTTATATTGTTCAGAACAACTCTGATAACTAGACATTTAAGTGTTAAGATGAATATTTTGTGTATATGAATGCCTGTTGGACAGTGACAGATATTTTTGGAAATACTAATTAGATATTGAAGCTAGCACGCGTGTTTGTATCATACAAAATCACATAGGCCAAATACATGAGAGAACAGTCTTACATATGTCTTGCTTATTACTAATTTTAATGAGCTAAAGCATGAGTTTTATAGTTTTTCTTTATAGAAATATATCTTCATAATTTATCTTACGAAATCTTTAATTGTACTGCGTTGCACAATGGCAGAAGTGTACTGTACTTTTCCACTGGGCTGGCTGTCAGAGCTGGCGCTGGTGTTCTTAGAGATTGCAATGAATAATGGTTATGTAATAGTTTAAATACAATACAGTGGAAGTAACATCTGCTCGACCGCTTTTCATGTTCTTGTGTGATGTGATTTTTCCACAGGAAAATACAAAGTAATCAAAGGAATAATTTCACCAGTAGGTGATGCATATAAGAAGAAAGGTCTGATCAGTGCGAATCACCGAGTAACTATGGCAAAACTAGCTACCAAAAACTCAGATTGGGTGGAAGTTGATGATTGGGAAAGCAGCCAGAGTGAGTGGTTGGAAACACTAAAAGTTTTAAGGTATTCTTCAGCCAAACCCTAAAAAGTCTCAAGAACCTATAGAAGGATAAGGAATGGTGTTAGCTCTAACGAGTTAGAATAATAGCAGGCTAACCTCAAATTGTATGAATAGACTCAGTGAATTCAGAAGTACTATTTATATGACCATTGTAAATGAAAGATTGCACCATTAGTCCTCAATGTACAAAAAAGTGAGCCTGTGAACAATTTTTAAGATACATTGTTTCTTAGGCTTTATCCAATTTTTGTGCTGAAAGGGTATTCATGAGGAAGGACAGGAGACTAGAATAGGGTAAAGACATGCTACACAAGCTTCCCTCATTTGATTTGATTGTGCTATGCTGCCCATTTATGTATTTAAAGGATGGCATGAGAATTGTCTGAAGGAATATCTTTTTTTAAGTTTTACCTTTTTTACTCTTTCAGTCACTGCTACTTCACTGAGGTTCTTCTTTTTAAAACTAATTTTTATTAAAAAAGAAATAGACCAACCTTGCAGTTGTTGCTTTGAAATCTTTGCACTTTGACCATCTTATGACCCAGCTCTCGCAAGTCCCTGTTCCAGCAGATCAGTTCTTGGATGGATTGTCTGTGAAAGTACTGCAGGAGGAAGTGGTGATAGATGATATAGTAGGCCATACTCTTCCCTATATTCTCCTACATCTTTAAAATACGTAAAATACATCTGTTTTGCAGGTACCATCATCAAAAGCTTTTATCTCCTGATCCCACCAATAGTCTGCAGAATGCCATACCTTTAACAAAGCCAGGACGGAAGAGGAAACAGGAACCAAATAGGCATGACCCCGTTAAAAAGAAAAATCAGAATCCAGATATAAAAAGTTAAGTCTGTTTGCAAATTAAATGCTTGACAATACTTGCTATTTCAAGGGAATTGTGCTGATGAGTAACTTTTTTAATGCTAGTTCTTGGTTCTGATTTCACTGAGTAAGTTTATTCCCTTAGATCCCACAGCATAAAGGAGTAGGCTTCATAACAAGACGACTGTAAAGGTAAAATATATAGGATGTGAAAAATACTCAAGATAATAGAAATTTGAACAGAGAAGGGTCTGAGCTATCCATTTTACCTACAGAACTTTGCTAAACTGTAGTTACAGCTGAGAATTTTGGATCATATTGTAAGTTGCTGAAGAAAGAAAGGACAGGATTAAGTCCTGAAATTCAAAACATATCTGGGTACAGGATCATTTTAAATTGTAATTTAAAACTTCATACAACAGATGTAGCTTGGCTTTGTAATTTAGGTAACATTTATTTTGCTTATTGCTTTTAGATCTTAATTTTAGTTCTTTAGCTTAACATGTACAATTTTATGTATTCATACAGAATTTGAATGGCCGTGCATAATGACCATCTTAATTGTTTATATTAGCAAATCTTGACTTCTGCCTGACTTCATCCCTTGAACCTTTCCAAATTCTACTGTTTTATTGATAGTATTTTAAAGGAGATGTATTCAAAGAAAAGACCAACAGCGTCAGGCAGGCTTCTTTCATATTGTGTTGACAGATGTTTTAGTCCATTCCTACCACCCTGTGACATTTCTGGAAACTGCAGATCTGTAGCGCACTCAATTTTGCTTCCATTACTTTTAAGGTGGTTTCTGTCTGCATGCTTCTCTAGATTCCCCATAAAACATAATATGGAAGAGAGTCCCCTGAAGTCAGGTCACAGAGTCTATGGGGGTTTTTTTTTTGGTCACATTTTCTTTCCCTTGACATAATCCCCTCTACGCCCTGTCCCATAAAAGCTAGCTCCTCTTCTTTAACTCTATGGAATATCAGATAAAATTTTAACAGCATTACAGTATCCTTTCATACTTAGCTATTCTGGATTTTTCTCTGTATTTTCTTTTACTTTGATCCTCACAGTGACTGATTCACCCTAAGGCTAAATGAGCATATTAGAGTTTATTTTCCGTCCTTTTGAACGAAGGATCTCCCACAACCTTTTTTTTTTTCAGAAAATCCCCGTATTTAGGCTACTAATTATAAATTATATACTCTGAATCTTTTTTTATTTCATTCCATTGTCTCATCTTAACCAAAGCTACAGAGAGATAGCCTAGAAATTAAATGTCCCCATCAAGTTAGCTAAAATCTGGTGGCCTAAACCAAGCCCTCTTTCTCACTTATTTTTCTTTTTAAGGTGTCCCACAGGTTAAACTGCTTTGTGGAAGTGACATGCTGGAATCTTTTGCAATCCCCAATCTGTGGAAGTTGGAGGACATCACTGAAATTGTGGAAAATCATGGCCTTGTGTGCATCAGTAGGGCTGGAAACAGCGTTCAGAAATTCATCTATGAATCTGATATTTTGTGGAGACATAAGAATAACATTCACCTTGTGGAAGAATGGATCACAAATGACATTTCCTCCACCAAGATTAGGAGAGCACTGCGGAGGGGCCAGAGCATTCGTTACCTAGTGCCTGATGTAGTTCAAGCATACATAGAAAAAAATAATCTGTATAGTCCAGAGAGTGAAGACAGGAACGCTGGGGTTGTCTTGGCTCCCTTACAGAAGCATGCAAGTGATTCCAAGAACTAACAGGCGCTATACAACTAACTAACTTTCTGTTGTGAAAAAAGCCACAGTTCAGTACAGGAAAATGTGATTTTTAGGGGTTGGGGTTTTGTTTGTTTTTTTTAAAGTAAATAGTGGGCTAATTCTGTGGCTTTAGTACACATGCAGTTGCTGTTGAGGTTTGGTGCACTCAATAATTGGACCTACACAATCTTTTTAAAATTCAATAATAAGATTTTCACATTTAAACACTTTGTCACAGTGCAGTGAACTAAGTATAAGAATTCACACTTGCATACGAGAGTTACAAATTAACAAGCAAATGAAAATGTTTTGATTAGTTTTAACACAGACTGCTCTGACTGCTATATATAAAATATTAACACAAATATTTTTAATAACTTATGGTGTCTTAGTAGACAAAGCCATTTCATTTCAAAATGTACCACTTTCTGATAGTAAATCTATATAACTTTCTTTTTAAAAATTGCCAACATGTGGTACACCTCAAAGAAATTATTTAGCTCTATCCTGGAAGGGAAAAATTTACTCCTGGCTGAAGTGGTGCTAGATATATCATGCTTTGAACTGCCTGCCTTTCAAATATGCAGCCTGTTTGTCTGTTGTCATGCAGTTTGCTCCCAGAAATGCCTTGTGCTTTACTTTTCCATTGATGTTTCCAGAGCTGTACGTTAAGCTCAGCACTGTTCCTTATGGAAGGACAGACCTACTTCAGAAGCTGGTTTATAGCCATTGATTTAATGGATAGAAATTAATAATAGTGTCTTTGCACTGATTCTCAGATCGTTGTCCTTTTATTTCAATAATAAATGAGCTTTTACTTTTGAGCCAAATCTATATAGCCAGAACTGTTTTCTGTAACTGGAATTGAGAAGAAATGGTAGGATATTAAGACTGTACATAAGTGCAATGTTTTTCTTTGCTAGAAACCTGGTATCGAATCTAACATATTGTCTGTATTAAGTTAATACAAACCAGAGAGGCACTGTGAATGTCATGGTGATAGAATTCTACCTCCCTTTATTTGCTGTCATCCCATTTTTGTTTGGTTTATGTGCCTTATTAAAATGTCAAGGTTTTCAAGACGCTACCTAATGGGTCAACAGGTTTTTCATGCGATCTCCACAAGATGACTCTGTTCACATTTTCAGACCAACAAATCCAGCAGAATGTGAGACTCTCAGGGCAGGAAGCCTAGATGCTGTTGGGCAAGTCTAGAACCAGGAACATGTTCCACGATCATAACTTTGATAACCCATCATCCTCCTTTCCTGGGCAGGAGATCCCCAAATTGCTGAGGCAGAAGTCGAGGCTTCCCTAGGAGGTTAGGGGGAGGCTGGAAGCCAGAAGCCAAACACAGAACGTCACAGGTGGCCCTAGGGCCTGCAAGGCTCATATAAAACCCAGCAGGGGAGTCGAAACACTATTGAGAAAACCCGTAACCTGCAGTGGAGCTAGCATTGGGCCTGCAAACTTGGAGGCCCACATGAAATTCTGCCATTACCATGCACTAGAACATCTGTGGTCTACTAGTTCAAGCCTGTAAAGGTGGCTGTCTACAGAGAATCTACAAGGAGATTAGCATAATAAAATGAAGTCATGACTCTGAAGTGCATCTGTAACTGCACTGTGACAGAAAGTAGCATCAAGGATTCTTGTGGTTTTTTTTTCTTGGTGATTCCTGCACCAAATGTGTTCAGTCTGCCATTTTTTCCCCTAGAGCTCAAGCAAGCTTACACTCTCCTTTGATAATGAGGCTGGGTTCATTTATCATCAATAGTAATAACGGTACCAAAGGATAAATTCTGTTCCCCGTGACACGTTAACAATCAAACTGCCATAACTGATTGAAGATAACTGTATTATTGATGGTGCATAGGAAAGGACAAGATCTACTTTTCTCTTTTGCTCACTGTCTGTCTTTATGACTGGCAAGAACAGAGGGCAAGAAAGATTTATTTTCAGTACTCAAGTCAACCAGTGTGCTTCTGAACAAACAGAGCAGACCCTTCTAATGGGAAAGCACCCTACTTACATGGTCACTTTTCAGAGTAAAACTGCACTTTAAGTCTAGGTTTATTCTAAATAATGATGTTGGTGTGTGTTGGTGCACTTTGTGTAATTCTAGAGAAACTGCTAATTCAGTAGGATGTTTTATAAAACTTTGGTCTTCAAACAGTTGCATTTACTGGGTTTTAATGTAGTTATGTGTGATGGGTCTTTCAATAAAATAAATTGCATGTAATATGCTAATTTTAGTCATCTTGTTATTAACCAAATCTGATGGCTGATGACTGCATGATTTTTAAGTAGGTAGAATGATGTCAATACAGTTTTGTCTATACAAAGCAGAACATGGTTCAAAAATTACACTAACTGCTGAATATGGATCTTTTGTTTTACTAGTGGGATCTAGAAACGTGCCTATTACAACACTAGAGGTAACCACACACTCACAATCTACTGTTGCAATCAGTTATAAATATCAGCATCACAGTCAGTGATGTGGCATATTAAAAAATGTTAGACCGGTATAACTTTGAAGAGTGGACTAGAGCTAAAAGAGAATCTAGCTACTTGAAAATGTAAGGTTTGTGAATGATGCAGTTCACTGAGCTTCTTTATAAAGGAGTTATGCATTCATAGATGTTCTACAAACAAAAATGAGGCTTTTTTTTTACATCACTGCATTTGGTTCTGCTCTATTAGGAGAACATAGCACCCTTACACCACACCTGTAATTCAGATTCAAAATATTTTACAAATACTGTAACAGCAGGAGGAACTACTTTATCTACTTCTGTAACGAGGCCACATCCTTAATGGAATGTGTTAGATGCTCAATGCTGCACAGCAATTAAGATAGAAATGGAAAAAAAATTCTTTCCACAAAAAGAAAACTGGGAATTTGTAAGGGAGAAAGAAATGAACCATCATCGGATGTGGCCAGGGCACTCAGCAGTTCTTACAAAAAGTTCCATAGGCAATTCTTTGGCTAAGCCTTGAAATAGTAACCCTAGTACCCTTTGTAAGTCTTAGTGTGAGATTAAGTACTGATTTACAGAAAGAAGCACCACATCTCAGACAATCTGCATAATCCTAATTTTCAATGAAAATGTTATATCCAGGCTTTTACAAAGGATTTATCCAAGTACTGACTTCTCTTTACTTGGAAGAGTCAGCAGCATTGCAACAGTGCTTTACTACCATAACCTCGTAATAACAAATTCTGGGTGAAATGTTACTATTTGAGTGCAAAGGAAACATTAATTTGCATTTCTCTGTGCCATTCCTAGTTTAGCATAGGTTAGAGAACAATATCCAGCTGCAAACAGGAAGCAAGCTTTGACGTCCTAATTTCCTACTTGCATGATTCTGTGAGTCATACAGGTCAAACCATCAGCTCCAAAAATGTAGCTAAAGTTCAGGGAAACTTAATTCTCTCTGCAAAAGATTATCTTTTTATTCAGCCTAACCAGAGTCAGTAAATAGATAAATGTAGTAGTTATAGGCGAGTTTCCTCATTCAAGACTCAGAATACCAAATTCCCTTTTTACTATGGTAGCAACACAGTTAAGATTTCCCTTGGCCCATCAATTTTGGGTTTTTCTTTTAATGTAGCCTTCATTGTGGTGCTCATTAATGTCCCCTCTGACCACTTAAAATGTGGGATTGAGCTAATACTCAAAAAGTACCTGTGACTTTGGGAATGACTGCTTTCCCCATTTTACCGATGAGGAAACTGAGGTATGAAGTTATCCAGCACTCCTGTACTTAGGAATTCTAGAGTGCCTAGTCGTTCAGGATTATTAAATTCATATTTCTCACTTGGTAAATTGTAACAATAAGGCATACAGTTTGCAAAAAGTAACCACAGATGGAAGAACTGCAAGAGATAGCAGAATTATGTATCTTCTAAAGGAAATAAAATCTTAATTCCAAATTCTGTACATATCCTTTCTCTTCGAAGTCAAGCATTCTTTATTCACTTCTCAAAAGACATTGCTGGATCATCACTTAACAGATTTCTTTCACTTCTTTGCCAAAGATAAAGTCCAGCACTGAAGCTTACCTGATGCATCCTGTGCTCTACTCTATATGCTCTGCCACAATGTATAGCATCTAAAAAACCATCAGTGGGAATAACTTCTGTATCATCTCTCCTTTACTGTATGCGTCAAGAATAAAAAGCAAAGGGAGGAGGTACATCATCTATATACACAGGAGTACTTTTTGATTTTGTTATAGGCTGGTTTTAGGAGTTTAAAGTGGATTGCAAGAACAGGTATTCGTCCTCTTTCGCATGTAGGAAAACTGATAAATACAGAGCTGCAGAACTGGGAACAGAGCTCAGGCTTCTGCATCTGCTGTCTCATGCCTAGCTGTTACACAAACTTTCTGGCTGGTAAGGCATCTGAGAAAATAAAGAATTTTGTATATGTATGTTCATTTAACTAGGATATAACTAGCAGCATTAAAGAAACCAGAACACAAATAGGTCAACTGTGGCATAGTAGAGCTATGTTGAGAGTCACATCAGAGAATAACATATACAAATAAAGACGTAAAGATGTATCTTTCACTTGTCTGTTACAACCACTAGACAATGATCCTGCCAACTATTCACTCCAGACATAAACCAACAAGATATAATGCTATTACTGTGTCATAGGTACTGCTTTAAAATTTGCTGATACAATACCATCCACAGTTTAACAGTCAATCCCTGTCTGCTCAAATAGATCATGTATTTACAGTGGGTAGATCACCTTTTCAACAAACATGCAGATTTCAGATCATAAAGCCACAGATCTAGTATACATGCAGCGAATTTCAGTAATGACAAAATCTGCCCATGATTCCCTGTAATGTATACAAGATGGACACAACCAGTTTAAACCGGTTTTTTGTGTCTTTTGTGACTCTTGGGCTATTAACAGTTGCTCCACACAAAGATTTCAGAAGCTGTGAACTCTTCCCTCCAATGCTGCTGAAGCTGATCT